AAGTCCACTGTTTCAGCAGGGAAGAGAGGAGGGGAGCAAATTTCTCACTTAAAAGCTGCCTTGCAACAGAAAAAAAATATTCTGCCAGGAACATGCACATGGTCATCATTAAACCTGTATTTTCACATTCCTTTCCTAAAATTATTTCCCATTTTACATTATTGTTGTATTACTGTGTAATGACACCGCATGAAGTGTATCCAGTTATCTTTCTGCATTCTTCCTGCCTGGACACATACTGTAATTTGGCTCCCCCTCTTCACTAAAATATGCTGTGTTGTACAGACAGTCTTCTGTATCAGAGCTGCCCACAGGCTGTGTTTATATCTCTGAAAACCTTTTCTTCCTAAGACCAAGCACTTCAGCATGTTTCTGCTGGGATGGGGAGAAGAAGAAACTTGTACAGTTCCAGGGAACGGCTGTATGCTAAACAGCCATCTTACACATCCTCAGTCAAGCTCACCTTTTCAAGTTCTCCTAGCTATTCTCTGATGGCAATGACCAAGTCTGCTATCGTCTCTGAAGGGACACAACAACTGAGCTTCCTGTGGACAGGGATGTAGAGCATAAGAAATTCACTGCTTTTGACACTGAACCAAAAGCCAAAAGGACTTGGCCTACAACGAGCATAGAAACGGAATGGTCCTGCTAACTTGAGATGATCAGAGCCGAAGGAGGTTGGGGTGGACAAAGCTGAGGCAGAGCGGGTTCAGACAGGGAGGGAAAATGAGACAGTTTGCTGTGGACTTACATGCCATCTTTTCGCTCATTTTTTTTAAAAATAAGTCTTTTTTAATAGCAAAGTGCATTATTTCATATGGGCTTTAGCTATTAAAATATTTCAACAAAATATTCAGTAAGTATTAAAAAACAACATGCATAGAACCAATTTATTAGAATAAATGAAAAGGGGAAAAAAGATCAGGGCCTCACTAGGTATAACTCAGCATAGACAGACAGGCCCCATTATTCCTCACTTTGATGCTGTACTGATACATTTCAACTGACTAAGATCCTGAGTTCTCAACAGTGTAAGCAGTCATTTAAAGATGTAACACTACACTATGACCAACAAAATTATGAGGATATACAGTAGCATCAGAGTGTGCACCCAGATCTTAAAGACACCTCAGGACAGTATCATTGATTAGTTCCAAAAGCAAGAACAACAAGGCCGAACAATTTCAAACTGTAAATGGGAGAAATAGTTGCATTACTTAAGGCTATGGATATTGGGTACATACACTTTTAAGCACCTAGGATAATGAATAGACATGTTGTGCAAGGCAAAAATACTGAAAAGCTAGGATTATGGGAGGCTGGTTTTGACAAAACACTACCACAGACACTTTCAACCATTCTGCTTGTTCATATTTAAATACATACTGCATTTAAGTCAACAAGTGAAATGGAAATACAGTGACATAGCAATGGAAACAGATCTGGTAGAAGTAATTAATCCCTCCAATCTCAGATGGAAAAGTTAACAAGGGGTAAAGAGGCTTTGTATAGCAGTGTTCAGAGTGCAACTTGGGGGTGGAATAAGCAACTTCATTAAATGAAAACAACAACAAGTAATCACACTGCATTTGTATTAAAAATTTCATAGTGATCCCTTCAACATCACAACTGTCAGGCATGACAGGGTGCTCCCCACAATCAACTCAGAATTACACCCACCATATGTACATGGACATGATTATCTACTGCCTATAAAATACACCCATATTTACTTGATATTGCAACATAATTTATAATCAACTTCATACAGCTTGTTCAATCCTGAGCTTCTCCGCAAAATACAGTATTTATCTGGTAGCCCTTGCAATTTAGGGTGCCTCAGTTACATAAAAGTTTCACAAAAGCTTTTTGAAATCCTATAACGAGCACAATTTTCTAAAATGAAGGTTTTAGTTAAAATCTAAAATAACAAGGGAAAGGATATCCATAGCAATACAAGTGATTTGCCAGTTAAATTCTCTACACTGCTCAAATGTCAGTAGCAATATAACATTAATTTTTTGAGAAATAATGGGTAAAATCTAGTTTATCAAAATAGTAATGGTATTCTTTGAATAGGGCAAAATCTTGACTAGTCAGTGGAACAATAAAGGGGAGATATACGTAACCTCCATTTCATAATCAAGTTACTTATTGCAGACAATTTGATAGCTATTTTCTTTATAAAAGTGTCTCTAATTCTGTTCTTCTGAAGGGCAGTTTTGAATCACAGTTCTGTATGCAACTTTAATGCTTTGTTAAGCATGGAAGTTCTAGTTTCCGATATATTTCAACACAAGATTATACATATAATCCTTCCTAATCAAATTCATCTTTTCCCAGTACATCAGCTAGAAATCAGTGACCAACAATATACATATACTAAACCAACAAGAACCTTCTCCAAAATACAATCTTCCAAAACACAACCTTTGAAATATCTGCCTGCAAGCATACATCTCTCTCCTCAAGGTACATTTTCAAAACTATTTCACAGACACGCAGTTTCTGCTTTGAAAGCTAAATGCATAATGCAACAAGCTGCCTCCAAATTTGAATTCAGCACAAAGGGGGGGGGGGGCGGGGGGAGAAAAAAAATGAGTCTTCTTATATAGAAAAGATATGAGAAGGCAGAAACATGCTGGTGTGAACCACAGTCAATAGCACATGCACTGAAATTGTAATCCTGATGATTCACCAAAAAAAAAGTACAAAACCCCTCTTTTCGTCCCCAGGATGCAAAAAGGCATATACGCATATCTGAAAGCCAGATGAGAAAAACTGTTACAAGTTTCTGTTCATGCTGCGATTAGGGTATCAGAGAAGCCAGTCATCTGTTTCCATCTTGTGTCGTGGGTACTTTGGACTCACTCAGATTTCCATCTGTCCAATTTCCTTATAGTTGGACCTTGTTTTGAAATCCTGTGCCTGCCACTTGCCACTGAAGAGTGCTGTGCTGCATGGTTCTTCAGCTGTATCTGCCTATTGCAGGCTGGTGCATACCAATAAAAATCAGGACCAAAAACCGGTCAGGACCTTCTCCCGGGAGCTGGTTCATGCTTTCCTGGCCACATGCCCTGAGCTCAGCACAGGTCAGCAGATAGGGTGGCTCCCAGTGGAGCTACAGATTGACATGCAGTGACAGACTCTCCGTTTCCTGAGCTTCACCATCCAAATGTCCACCCTGGTCAGCACTCTTCATAAGCCCATGTTATCCAATGGATTGTTTATGGTCCCACTTTCCACAAACTGAGGTCTAAATTCTGGTTCCTCAGCAAAGGAGTTGTGTGAGCCTTTAGTATACAACTTCCAAATTCAATGGAGTTATGCCAGCCTATGTTATTTAAGGATGTTGTGGTTTAACCTGGCAGGCAGCTGAACGCCACACAGCCATTCGCTCACTCCCCCCCAGCCCGTGGGATGGGGGAGAGAATCAGGAAAAAAAGTGAAGTTTGTGGGTTGAGATAAAGACAGTTTAATAGGACAGAAAAGGAAGGGAAAGTATTAATGATAAAAGAATATACAAAATAAGTGATGCACAGTGCAATAGCTCACCACCCACTGACTGATGCCCAGCCAGTTCCTGAGCAGCGGTCACCGCCCCCCGGCCAGCTTTCCCCAGTTTATGTACTGAGCATGACATCCCATGGTATGGAATGTCCCTTTGGCCAGTTTGGGTCTGCTGTCCTGGCTGTGCCCCCTCCCAGCTTCTCACTGGTGTGGAAAGCTGAAACATCCTTGACTAGTGTAAGCACCGCTTAGCAACAACTAAAACATCGGCGTGTTATCAACATCATTCTCACCCTAAATCCAAAACACAGCA